TTGCATGCTAATGATGTTGCTTAAATGAACATGTCATCTTCCAAAATAATCCTTCAGTTGGCACTTTTTCACATTGACTAATAGTTTGGTGAATGTTGTTGGATGCTCATGTAAGCATCGTGATGCACTCAGAGAGAAACAACAAGAAAATCTCATAAAAGCTATTGAAATGATTGTCTTGAAAATGGCAAGGGATAAATCAAGAAACTAGTCTCAAACGTGTTGGGGATACACAGTGGAATTCACATCATGGTGCTTTGATTAGTTTGATTACAATGTTGTGGATGTGCTTGACATGATTGTTGAAGATTGCTACAATGATAATGTTGGTGAAGCAAAAAGGTTATTAAAAGATTTACAATCTTTTGAGTTTGTGTTCCTCCTCTTTCTGATGAAATCCATATTAGGAGTTGCAAATGATTTGTCACAAGCATTGTAAAAAAAAAAAAAAGATCAAGAGATTGTGAATGCAATGGCTTTAGTCAAGACATGTAAAGAACAACTACGTTGCATGAGGAATGATGAAAATTTTGATCTTTTGGTTGATAAAGTATCATCTTTTTGTGTTGAACATGAAATTGAGGTGCCTATTATGGATGATTTATATGTCATTCAAGGGAAGTCATTGCATAAGGCTCCAAGAAAGACCAATTGTCATCATTATAAAGTGGAGCTCTTTTTTGAGGTCATTGATTTCCAACTTACAGAATTAGATGATCGCTTCACTGAAGGTAATACCAAATTGCTTATTTGCTTGGTATGTTTGAGTCCAAATGATTCATTTGTAGCTTTTGATAAAGATAAGCTTGTTTGCCTTGCTCAGATGTATCCTAAAGATTTCATAGATTGAGATAGATTGGCACTTCAAGATCAATTTGATATTTATATTCATTTTGTACGTTTTGATAATGATTTTTCTCAATTGTAGGGGATTAATGATCTTGCTAAGAAAATGGTGAAGAAAAGGGTTGCATCGAACATTTGCATATGTATATTTGCTTGTTTAGTTGGCTTTAGTTTTACCTGTTGCAACTGCTTTAGTGGAGAGGGCATTTTCCGCTATGAATATCATTAAGGGTCCACTTCGCAACAGAATGGGAGATCAATGGTTGAGTGACAGCTTAGTTAGTTTACATTGAAAAAGATGTTTTTTCATGTATTGGTAATGAATCTATCATGGAACATTTTCAGATTATGAAATGGCGTCATGGATGCTTGAATTAGGATTTTATAACTTGTAATTTTGTTTTGCATATGATTTTTGAATAAAGTGTATTATATTTAACTTTTCAATGTTATTTTTGTCTATAAATTTTTTGACCTTTATTATTGAGACCCCTCGAGTTTAAAATCCTGGATCTACCATTGCTTGTGATATTATGTACATGGCTAGTTGGTCCAGAGTACTTGGTCTCACTAGGTTATAGAAAGTCTTAGCTTCGACCCACACATATTTGAGGATGATGCACCCGCGCACACACACACACATATATATATATAGTGAATTTGATACTAAATTGTGACTTGTTGTAAATAAATTAATAGCGTGTACATGCATTAACAACTACTGTAAAAGTATTTTTGTAATATTTTATACTATTTTATCTTTTATATACGAGAAATTCTAAAGTCCGGCATTTGGACGACTTGTCCGTGCGAATACAAAAGCATTTCCCTATCCCACCCGGTCCTAATTTATAATTCATGCTCACTTGGCTCTATTTGTGTCTCACCCCTCTCTTAGGCCATCTCCAACCGAAGGGTTCAGAGGGCCGAAAATAGCCCGTAAACTGTCTTCAACCGAAGGCTAGGCCAAATAGCTCGTGGGCCCCATGAGACAAAAAAGGGCAAAGGGCCAACCGGCTAGCTAGCCCACTTTTTTTTTTTTTCTTTTTATTCTTTTCCATTTGCCTAGCCCACTCTAGGGTTTAGGGTTTAGGATTTTTTTTTTTTTTTGTCCCAGACCAAATTTTTTTTTTTTTTGGACTTTTTTTTTTTTTTTTTTAATTTCTAATTTTTTCCTACACCATTTCTCAAATATTTTTCACTATTCCATACTATCTTACCTCATTTTATTTCAATTCTTCACATTCCATACTATAGCCTTTTGGCCCTCGGTTGGAAATGATTTTTTGTCATAAGGCTATATTTGGCCTATGGCCCTCTGGCCCCTCGGTTGAAGATGGTAAGAAATATAGTCATGGACTGTTCATTAAAATATTAATTTCTTGGAGGGCCAGAAGGCTAAAATGTGCCCTTTGGCCCTCCTTCGGTTGGAGATGGTCTTACACCACACCTATGACCTATAATGTATGGTAACCTCACACAAGAATCTCTCCCTAAACATCCCAAATCTCTTGTTACTTAATAAAAACTATTTATATGTACCATATTTACTGACCACATGTCACACTGAGTGAGACTCAAAAAAGATTTAGTTATGTAAATGAATATCATTTTTGCGGGAGGCATGATTAGTGGCGCGACCAATCGATGTGATACTTATAAGTGACGTGAAAATGGGAATAGTCTAGTGTTCTATGTTGTTAGATTGTACATCAAAATCATTGATCAGATTGTCTTCTTTCATGAATGTGTGGTCTGAATTTACAGTCTGCTAACAAAAGTCTCGAAGAGAGCGTAGCCCATATGGTATTATTCATTTTTTCATTTTTTTTCATGATGTATATATACTGAACTTCTATGCTTTGTTCTTCTTGACTAGCTTCTCTGTGGATGGAACACCCATTAGAGAGTTCAAGAACTTAGAATCCAAGGGAGTTTCTTTTAACAAAGAACCAAGGCATGATGCAGACGATTGGGCCACACACGGCGGACTTGCGGAGACAGATTGGAGCAAAGCCCCCTTCACAGCCTCATACAGAAACTTCAACGCCCAAGCTTGCACTTAGTCTTCAGGCACTTCCCGTTGTCCTTCCAAGACCCCGAACGAGTCGAGCTGGTTTACTCAGTCACTTGACTACATGAATTACAACTACTGCCGAGATTCCAAGCGCTTCCCACAAGGACTTCCTCCTGAGTCCTCTGCTGCATGAATTTAATTGATTTACTCCATTCCACGTAAAACGTTTTTAGATAACATATAAGCTGTAATGGTAACGCTGCAACATGACTAATAAAGAGACAAATGAAGTTTTTGTCACATGACCAACGGAGGAGAATCGACTGGTTGATGTCTGCGTTCAAAGCAAAGTTAATAGTTAAGAATTCGAGCATTTCCAAGAGACTCTTTAAAACAATCAAAAGACAAATCATTTGAGCTCTTTATGATTTGCGTATAATTAAGCGCACATAGCAACCTAACTATGTTAGGCAACAACCAAAAGAGAATTTTGGATGTCATGGTATAAGCGTGAAGGTAGATATTTTATTACCTACTTTGAACTTTGGAAGGTTGCCTTGCCTCTCCTAATGGAGAAGAATGATTTGCATGGAACCGCAACAGGTTACCATCACATGAAGTCCTAGTGGAGAAGAATGATAATGCATTATCATGCATGTGTTTTTCTTGACCCAACTGTGAAACATAAGAAGCATGGCTTGAATTGTTAATTATAAAAACTTAAATCACTAATTATCTTCCCGAACGTTAACAAGAATTGAGGTCGAGTACATCTAAGGTTCTCATACCAATAATTTGCTAATTAAAAATTGATTACGTTGTTCTGGTTCTGCTCAAAGTATCTACAAAGTGATTCTATCTGCATCCCCATTCAGTTTCATTAGAGCATCTTCAATGGAAACTCTAAATGGAATCCTACAATCGTATAGTCCCTAAATATATGGACAAAAGGCTTTTAGTAGGTCGAAATAGAAATCCTCAAAATATCTCAATATATAAGGACTCACCAAATACATCAAATGTAGGGATTGTATATAGCTAGGGACTCAAATAGTGAGTCCACTGTTGATTTTGAGTGGGAAACCACCCCACCCACATGTTCTCTTTTTGGATTTTTTTTCTCTTTTTTGGGGAATGCTACACAACAACTTCTCTTTTTGGTTTTGGTTTTTCTCTTCCAATGGTATAAATAACATTGTGGTTTTTATCAATGGCCACAGTACTCCAACGAAGTGGGCAATGATTTTTTGTTTTTTTAGATCTTACGTTTAGGGATTATACCATAAGACCTCCCATTGCAAACAATATTCCTTTAAAGACTTGAATATTCCCTTAAAATATCTAAATGACTCTTCAAAATTAGCGGTGGGAGTCTTTAAAATGCTCTTACCTTTATATATTTCACTTAGATTGTTATATATTACATAAATTTACAATCACTTAGTACTATAGTCTAGTGGTATTCTCTTCACTTGTAAGTGAGAGGTCTTAGGTTCGATTCTCGCTAAAGGCATATTGGAACTATATTATTGCTAGCCCGTTGTGAGACTAAGCACACCTCTTCTCCCTTATTGTAGATTATTAAATATTAAATATTAAAAAAAAAAAAACTTTACATTAATTGGCATGGGTCTTTTAATGGAAAGTATGTGAGATAGAAAGTTTAATAGAAGTTACCATCTAGATTAAAAAGAAAAAAAAAATATTACTTAACTGTAATAATTATAAATTTCTTTACCGTAATAAGGAATTATAAAATTACTTTACTACCAAATCAATAGAGCCATCGAGGGATGTCGTGAGGTGTGGTAAACTCCAAGATAATGAACTCTGCATAAAAAACAAAAGATTAGTATTTTGTATGCAAGAAGTATTTTGTCTTGAACCAGATATACAAAGACATGAACTTAGCTAGTAATTATTTATCGCGACTTGAAATTAAAATAATAGTTACATAATCTAATCTTTCATATCAGGACATTTTCTGGGGCACGAAGGACACCGACCAACTTTTCGGGCACGGAGATGGCAACTCCAGCCATTCTCTTCTCTATATAAACCATGAAGCAGCCTACCATTTTAGTATACCTTTCATTTACTTCATCGAACCCTAGCTGCACTTTACTAGCTATACACCATGGAGTACATTAACCAGTACTACTGCAAATGTATTTGTCTGGCCTTTATCTTCATTTTGGGAGCTTTGTCTTCTCAAGCCACCTCTCGCACTCTCCAAGATGCATCAATGTATGCGAAATACGAGCAATGGATGGCTAGTTATGGACGTGCATATGCTGACATAAATGAGAAGGAGAAGCGCTTCAATATTTTCAAGGAAAATGTGGCGTTCATAGAATCTTCCAACAACGATGCAAACAAACTTTACAAATTGAGTGTCAATCAATTTGCAGACCTTACGAATGAAGAATTCAAAGCCTCGAGAAATGGATTCATGGGGCACGAATGTTCCACAAAGACGACTGCTTTCAAATATGAAAATGTAACCGCACCACCAACTGTAGATTGGAGAAACAAAGGAGCTGTGACACCAATCAAGGACCAAGGCCAATGCGGTAATTGACTTTATCTGTAGACAAACCTGGAACTTCACTCGTTAAATAATGTCTCTTAATCTAACCCTTATTTAATTTATCAAGCAAAAACAACATCAATATTTAATTTCAATTATACACGTGCAGGATGTTGTTGGGCTTTTTCAGCTGTGGCAGCCATGGAAGGGATTACTAAGCTTACAACTGGTAAACTGATATCTTTGTCTGAGCAAGAGCTGGTTGATTGTGACACAAGCGGTGTGGACCAAGGTTGCGGGGGTGGTTTGATGGATGATGCATTTCAATTCATTAATAAAAACCATGGACTTAGTACCGAGACTAATTATCCTTACACGGGTGTTGATGGTACTTGCAACACCAAGAAGGAGGCCAGCCATGCAGCCAAGATAACTGGCTACGAAGATGTGCCTGCAAATAGTGAAGAAGCCCTTTTGAAGGCTGTTGCAAATCAACCAATTTCTGTTGCCATTGATGCTGGAGGTTCCGATTTTCAATTCTATTCAAGCGGTGTCTTTACAGGAACCTGTGGAACAAGTCTAGATCATGGGGTTACCGCCGTTGGTTATGGAATTAGTGCTGATGGTACCAAGTATTGGTTGGTGAAGAACTCATGGGGCACCCAATGGGGTGAAGAAGGATACATAAGAATGCAAAGAGGTGTTAAGGCAAAGGAAGGTCTTTGTGGCATTGCTATGGAAGCTTCTTACCCCACTGCATAATTTAAATTACCATAAAAATGATGCTTACTATGTATAATATGTATCGATATTTATCATGATGTGTACATGACGAACTTGTACGTTTAGCACACGCTCTACTAAAAATGTAGCAAAAACAAAAGAAAGTTTTATACTACCTTATGATGTTCTATGGTCTAAAACTTAAGTAATCACTTGCTAGGAATCATTATCAAACAACTTTTTGCTAGTATTAGATCATTTTTAATGGGCTCCTAAATGAATTCCTAGCTAAACCTTAAGAGAGAATTTGAAAAATTCATCTGCAATCACACTATCTATCTACCTCCTCAAGAGCATCTCCAAGGAAAAGCAAATTAATACCGCAAAACTGTAGTTTGATAGCCTATGTGGCATTTTGCCTCCCAATATTTGCCTTGTCAAAAATATGTCCCTCCAAATGGTGAGGCATAGTGCCAACACTGCCAAGTCAATTTGTTATTTTATTGTTTTGATTTTCGTCAAATGGAAATTTGAATCACATATTGTTAGCCTATTGTGAGACTAATTTCACCACTTCCCTCTTGGTGTAATTGGCTATATGTAAAGTATGATAAATTATAGTTTCCACTCTTAAATTTGAGGGAAATTACAATTTTATACATTATTGTTAGAACTTTACAATGTGATACATGAAGTAATAATATAATTACAATGTCAGATATTCGTTAAAAAATTGTTAAATATACTGTTAAGTGTTGACAAAATAAAAATAAATTAAACAGTAGTTTATTAATGTAATTATTTAAAATAATTGAAGAAAATTAACAATGGGTTCCAGTCCTACCACCTCCTCCCTTTCAATTGTCGACCATTGCGTCTCGGTCAACGTCACCGTCACTGCTTCTCCTAGTCCCTTGGAGCCACATTTTGCTTAGGCGGCGCAACAAATTCAATTTGCCTGGGCATTTGCCTTGCCATTTGGAGATGATCTCAGATAAGGATTCCTGGGAGCTCTTAAATTTGGAGAGTAAGAAAGGAAATCTTAGTGATTCAGTTGGTCAAGAGCATTTGCACTTGCACCCGAGATCTCGTGCGTCCCCGTTTCCATGGTTAAATGTAGATTATCATCTCATTTGTAATAATAAAAAAGTAAAAAGTAAAAAGTAAAAAAAACAAAAACAAAAGTGTTCCTAGCTTTCATTACTAATATTTAATATTTTAAATAGAAACTCTATTCTTAATGAACTAGAGAGTGACTGGAGTAGAATTTTTCCAGGGACCGGGAGCTCTTAAGGTAACTTTATCAACTTTCTAGCTAAAATTTAACTGAGCATAATTGGAGACGCGACACAGGAAAGGCCAACAACCAACAACCTAGATACACTGGTACACTAAAAACATCTTCACGGTATTCAAAATTACGCTTTAACATCACATGCACAAACACAATGCAGGCAGGTCAGCTGCTACTTCAACCACAAATTTACACAGATGATTCAGCATCCCATAAAAAACACAGATTTAGCTGTTTACCAGGACGACAGCTACAAACCAAGAACAAAATGCACTGGTAAGCCCCAAGGCAAAGTCGCTTCAGGAGAAACGTAGAGATTCTGACTCAACCTCAATCTTTCGATACATGCATGACAATATAGTTTATGAAACTAGTATGCTACATCTCCCCTTGGTGAATGAGTTGGAATTTGTATCACATCTAACATAGAAATAACTACAAAGAGTTAAGTCTTTTACAAGCAGAACACGCTGCAAACTAAACGAGGTGGGGCTGCCATCCTAGTTCCTAAGGTCTTTGCTAGCAACCGAATATAAATCTACCGCAGACAAATGAGAGGCAACTAAAATCAAATAACAATACAGCAAAATATCACAAACATCTAGTTTTGAAAAGTAAGACATTGATTAAAAATACATTTGACGAGCAAACATCCATAGCTGATTCCTAGAGTATACAACTGTAGAACATTAGAGGAAAGTGTATTCTCCAACAGTTAGTAACAAAGTACCAAACAAAGGGCATCTGTACCAATGCATCATTGCAATCAATTTTATGAATAAGCCAACCCAATATCGTTGTCAGAATTAACTTTATGAATAAACTCAATATAGCATAGGCAACGAGAAAGAGGACATATCGGGCAACTGTTTGTGCATGGAACAACAAAAACAGAACAAAAATAAAAAATAAAAAACTCCAGCTAAAAAATGATCATACAAAAAGATTTTTAAGTAGGACGAGATTTCAACTTCTTTACTCGTTTGACAGACTTCCGTGCCTTCTTGACAGCAACAACTCTTACCATTTTCACCTTCTTAGTAGGTGTAGGCATTTCCCAAATCGGACCTGGCGGTACTCCTTTCTTGAGTGCACTTCCTCTCGGTGTAGCTGAAGGAGGCAGTCTTAAATCTTGCGGAGGTAAAGGGCTTTGGGGTTTCCACACCAAATTGTTTTTCATGGAAAACTTTACCTTCCTTGCACTCTTCTCCCCACTCTTTGCATTAGTGCCACCCTCGGCATCTTCTTCAATAGATTTCTTCATTCTCTTTCTCTTCTTAGAGATAGGACCCTTATCTGAAACTAAAGGCATATCACAGGCACTTGGAACATCGTCATCCAAGCCAGCTTCAGCAGCAATCTTCTCAAACTGCATCTGCAAGTTCGATATCACATTATCATCAAGTTTAAAAGCATCGGCATCAGTGACCTCCTGATCATCTGAAATCTCACCATTTGCAGCTACATTCTCATTATCCCTATCCGTAGAGTTCTTTTCAGAGTCTGAATCCAAACTCCCATTCCCCTCCTTATTCTTTTTTTTCTTCTTCTTTTTCTTCTCTGCCTTTGTATCAGCACCACCAGTGTCCTTCTCATTCTTCTTGCACTTCTTCAAACGCTTTCCAGCAGACCCATTGGCAATGACAATCTCAGCAGGCTCCGAGTTACTTACATCCATCTCCTCACCAGCAAGAGGCACCAAATCCGGCACCTCCTCATCATCATGACAAACAACATCAGGAAGAGAAATCTCAACCCCAGAAGATTCCAACTCTTTCTCCAACATCAAAAACTCCTCGTGCAAGCCAAACAACACTTTCCTATTCCCCTGGCAGCACTCAGGTGAAGACCCCGATTCATAAAACTTGCTTGCAAACCCCATTTTCAGCGCAACTGTCCCGAAGACAACAAACTCATCACTCGAATCCAAGTCCTCCCCCGACTTCTTAACCTCCAACAGCCTCTTCGCCGCCCCGAGCAGCACGTCAAACAAATTACTCTTAATCTTCCCCAACAACACCTTATCGGGCACTTTGGCAGAAACTCGAATAAAACCCACTAACAAAACCTCAAGAACTTCAGCCTTAATCGGAAGAAATGGCCTAAGCTCTTCGAGAAAAACCGAGGCAATGTGGTAATTAACCCCATTCCCCAAACACTTATCATCCGCAAAAAATGTCCTCTCCTCCAACACACCCATCAAACGTTTCACAAGCTCCAAATCCCACAAATTATTTTTCATCAAAGTAAAGAAACTAGTCATAAATCTGCGAATCGATAAGTAGAACTTGTCTAACCTCAGGGCGTCGATGCCGGGCCACTCGCGGCGCATGGTGTGCAAAAACACCGAGAAGTAGTGGAGGGAGAGCTGGAGGTGGAGGCTGAGGACCAGAGAGGAGAGACGATCGATGAGCTGGGTCTGGACCGGGACCTTGTCGGCGTGCCACAGGCAGTAGAAAAGGCCTTTCCAGAGCTTCTTCATGTGGTCATCTTGGAGGTTGAGTTGCGCCGGCAGCCATGTTTTGAGCAGGACCCTAAGGGCTCTGTCTCGGCTGCTTTTGTTGCATGAGGCCAGTTGCTTTATCAGGGAGAGGCCTGCTTCCACCGCCTTGTCTGCCTCCATTTTTGAGGTTTGATGCGGTGGTTTCAGATTGTGAGATGCCTGCATAAATAGCCGGTGAAGGGCGGAGGCCGGAGGGTGAGGGAAACTTAACAAACCCTAGAGCTGGAGGGGGGATTTTGGGATACAAAAGGAGGAAGAGATTTAGGAATGGGCCGGCGACTGCGCTTGCCTATCTCAACTGGCTTTCATCAAGTTTGTAGGCCCAAACACAACGCAACAATAAGAGGGTGCTGATATATTGGACGTTTGATGTACTGTTCTAAAAAAAATCACTTAGCATCATCTAGACTTTGTCTGGACACTAAGCAGTTAGTTATCGCACTGATTAATTTTTAAACGTTTGAAAATTAAGAAATGATATTTAGATCTGCTTAGGTATCCGTCTAAACCATCTAAGCACTCGTCCAGCCCGTCTAAACCCGCCTAGGTAGCAACTCTTAAGCAGAAAATAGATAATTTTTTTTTTTTGCATTTTATTTTTTTCGATAAATTGTAAGAGACTTGTTGAATACTTAGATGAACACACATTATATGCTTATTCCCCATGTTTTCATTACGTTCTAATCTATTTGTCCTTATATTTTGCAACTTATTTATCCCAATGCAATTATATATGTTTTTAAGTATAAGTAGACAATTATTTATACGATGTTTAAGAAATACACTTAAATCCGCCTAGGCTTCTGCTTTGACCTCGTCTTGCCATCTAGGCGTAAGGCCTCAACTCACCGTCCGACTAATGGCTAGTGTTTTTTAAAATTTTGATTTAATGTCGCAAATTATAAACGTTCTTGTCGTCACATGGTTAGTGGTTTAGCGGAGGGAATGGGGGTCGCTTGATCGTTGTAGGATCAGAAGACAATTGGGGAGACACAGGGTGAGGGAGGAGGGGATTGTAGGATAAGAAGACAATTGGAGGGAGGGAGAGAGAGAGAGAGAGAGAGAGGTCGGTGTATTGTTTAGGGAAAGAACAGTGGGGTGGTTGGTTTTGTAAATTGCAACATTGTAAATGGTTATTTATGTTTCCGAATACCTAAATTTATTTTGCAATTGATCATCTTCATCCTTCACTTCATGCTTTCCACATCAATATTGTTCCGTTTGAATGAGTAATATTACTAAAGAATTTCAAAATGATAAGAATGATGATAACCATATGGGTGGTGACAACTTTGTAGTGGGAGTGACGTTGGCGGTCATGGAAATGTTGTGGTGGGGGTGGTTGGGAGTTTGGTGACATGATAGTAGAGGTATTTCTTTACTTGCGTCAAATTTAATCCAACAGTCTTATGGTTTCAGATTTAATCCAAGAGTCCTAGAGTTTTGGAACGTTATACATTACGAAGTGGTTTTACAAAAGATTGTGTAAAAAGTGGTGTCACAAACCCATCTCCCAATTATAAATACAATGAAACTTTGAGGTACATTATAACACCTCATTCAAACAAAATTTACTAAACCATACCACTACATCTGGCAGCGTGCAAATTCTTTGATTTCAAATCAGGTCAATCTCACGCATCATTCGCACGTCTCCTACACTTCACACCTTGCGCAACTCTATTGATTCAAACACAACAACACAGTGTTTGTTTCCTGATTCTATTTTTTATATTTGAATTTAGATGATGCATTGCAGTATCCGTCTTTTGTTTATCTTCAACATTTGAGTTTAGACAACGTGTTGCAGCCTTTGTTTCTAGTTTTGCTTTTACATTTGTGTTTAGACTATGCAATGCAATCTTTGTTTCTAGTTCTGCTTTTATATTCGAATTCAAACTCTAAAATGCAGTGTCTATTTGTGTAGTTCTATTTTCATATGTTGTCTTCAAGTTTTCAAGAGATGCAAGCATTGCCTTCACCATTCCAAATACAAATTCAATTGCATAATTAAATAGCAAAAGGGCCAAAAATCCGAAGCACAAATCTTGCGGATTTGATACACTGCTTAATTTCGTCCTCGAGCTCCTTGCACGATGTCTTCAAAATTTCATAAATATTTAATTGATTATGTCCAAAACAAAAATTGACCATTGATATATGAATAATTAGCAAAGATTCTCTTAACATTTGGCTAAACAACCTTTATGTGGACTGTGGAGTGTATTGTATTAATACGGGTAAAATTGAAAATAAGATGTCAAACAAAAATTTTGGAGCGAACTTAGACATGGTATGGAGTTTAAATAGAAAATTCTATCCAATTTGGGGTTTATGTTTTAACTTAATATTTCTCACTTATAAGTAACGTGGTGTTATCCACATAGTTCTTTTTACCTCATACGCCCCGTGTTAATTTCTATCATTTGATTCTCTTCAGTTCATTCAATCTGACAACTGAACTTAAAACATATGTAGAATATAAAAAGGGGTGTGTAATAGCACCATGCTCATTTTTGGATTAGTGGCAAAGCCACTAAGAGCTAGAATGGTCTCCGGCCCATCTTGCCCTATTTTTTTTTTTTTTCTCTTCTTGCTACTATAACAGATGTTGATGCATATCAATCTAGTACCCTTAAAATTCCAGTGTGTTCTAATCTAAACTGTTTTCTATTCCAAGCCATGCCCTCATTATTATCTCTATCTCTCTTATTGCAGTGCAGTCTTCTTCACTTCCCCTCCTTATTCTATAAGCTTTTCTTTGGTTTTAGCTTATATTTTAAAATTTTCTTGCTTACTCTTTACCTCATATTCGAATTCCTGGGTTTATGCAATGTTTTTAGTTCTCTTTGTTCAATTTAGGGTATTTCAATTTTCATGCGCATTACTCCAGGGTTTAGTTCTCTCTGGATGTTGATGCGTACTCTAAACCATTACTCTAGTCTCTCATGTTATGAGTTCAAATTACCTATGTATGTGAAAGGTTCTCCCACAAATGAAATCCTCGCTCCTCTATTGATTTGGATTTGTTTTAAAAGAATTTATATTGACAAAAACTTTGAGTAGAAGAGTGAGGTGGACAGCCGAAGGAGGAGTAGGTGATGGTAAAGAGAAGGCGACGGATGTAGCAGAATGAAGGGGTAAATAATATGACGATGGTGTTTAATATAGAGTCAGCAGTCAGCAGTGAACAAATCCAACAACTTCAAGGACATAGTTAGACTAAAGTAAACCGAATGCGATGAGTTTTCAGAGTTTTCTCTCTTGAAAGAGAGAGAGAGAGAGAGAGAGAGAGACAAAAAGAGTCAAGACAATAAAATGAGGGGTGCCGTGGCTGAAAACTCTGAAAACTCATCACATTTTTTTTCATACATCTCCTTATTTTACATATATCTTTGAAAAATTCTCATATTGTCAGACATTATGTTAAATGTAATTTGACGTGCCTCAAATTTATACTGTTGTGGAGATGGTTGGTAGGCTGGATTGGAAAGTTTTCGAATTTCAGAGTGCTAAATCAGTTCGTTTTCGTTTTAGGCCCCAATTTGCATTGATACGGTTCTGCCCTTGATGTTTTACGAGAGAACATTTATAGTGAATTATAGATTTGGAATATTTGTTGCATTGTGTTATAAACATGTGGTGGTATTGCAGGAGGTGTTGGAGGAATAGGTGGTCTACTAAAGCTTCAGGATGATGTACATATTATGTGGAACATGCTCAGCAAAGCTCAGCAGGAAGAGATGATCGTCTCAAAACACCACAGCCAGCTTCCAAGCCAAATAAAAAGCAGATACAAAAACCCTCTTGGTCTCTGAGGACCTTCTACTTTACCACCCATGCAAAGACCCCAGTTTTGGTCAGACTGGAAAATTATTCGGTTCAGGAAGCCAAATAATAGTGTGTTTTCATGTGCATATATATATATATATATATATATATATATATATAGTTCGTAGGCCCCTGACAAATTTATATGATCACTGTAACTAATACAAATATCAGAGCACTTACTAGCAGAAGTTTCTTCCTTTCCAAAAAGTATCATCAAGCAATTGCTATGTAACTATTGTACACAACAATTTATAAAATCCCAAATCAATCTAGAGAGAGAGAGAGAGAGAGAGAGAGAGAGAGAGAGAGAGAGAGAGAGAGAGAGAGGAGAGAGAGAGAGAGAGAGATTAAGAGCTGAGCTCAAGAAACCGTAGTGCCATGGGATGCTGGGCTTGAGATAGTTGGTCTGGTTTGAGAACTTCAACAATTTCCCCATCCACAAGTAGGCAAACAATATCAGCAATCCTCTGGATTTGTTTGATGCTGTGAGAGACCATCACAATGGTCATCCCCTGTTTCTGCTTCAGCTTCTCCAAAGCACCTTCTATGCGCTCTGTTGATATTGGATCCAATGCACTTGTTGGCTCATCCAGCAGCAAAACCTTCCCAAAAGTATAGTACAACACATTACCAACAATAGCAAACATAAAAAAAAAAAAAAAAAAAAACATTGTTTGGCGTACATGTAAGGAGTCATTCTTTCTTACCATCAAATCATAATCTGACATATGCAAAAATAACTTATTAAGATCACAATAAGAAATTCTGATAGATGTCAAATAGTAATTTGACTGCATGGAGGAGTGACTCGTTAAATGTCACATGAGCTCATTAGGATCACGAAAAGAAGAATTTTTTTAGATAAATATCAAACAGTGATTTATCTGTAAGAAGGGACGACTTCTTGAATGCAAAATGGAGTTGAGGATGGTCTTGTAATGGGCTTTTACCTCAGGGGAATTGGCGAGGGTCCTAGCAAGTGCAACTCTTTGGGACTGACCCACAGACATTTCAGAACCAGTCTTGGTGAAAAAAGATGAATCAAGGTCTACAAGTGTCAGCAACTTGTGAACGTCCTCGTCACTCAGCTTCTTCCCCTTTAATTGAGGGCCATAACGTATATTGTCCGCAACTGTGCCTGAAAGACGAATTGATCACAGTTCTTAATTTGCAACTGAAAACAGATACACAAGTATATATTCATAGAGCTTTGCTCTCCTGCGCATCAAAGAACAAAAAAGAAAGATATCTCAACCGTTCGTTCATGAAAAAAAATACAAATGCGCGAGGAAGAACTTCCGGATATTCATATACTACTGCACATCAAATTCTTTCCAGGAAGACTTGAAACCAAAAGAGGGGAGAATTGACATAACAATCGTTGATCCAATTCTCGTTTACTATATTACAATCATCCAATTATCATTTACTATATTTACTATATTTAGACAGAGAGATTGAAATCACAACATCATCCAGTAACCAACCAGTGAGCGATTACTCTAATGGTATTTTTGCTCCACAATGTTAGAAGAGATCTCGTGTTTGAACCCCGTCACCCCCAATAATCAAAAGAGGAAAACACCATCACACCATCCAAGTAATAGGACAAGTAGGTTTAACCACTGTTATTATAGAAAGAAAAAAAAAAAAATATATATATATATATATATATATAGAGAGAGAGAGAGAGAGAGAGAGAGAGAGAGAGAGAGAGAGGTTGTGTGACTGCAGCATAGGACAGATTGTTCAAAGTACCATTAAAATACAGTTGATAAAAAATTTGTTGAGTTTTAAACTTTAAATGTGAGTAAGCCTTGGAAGTGAACCACTCCACCCCAAAAGAAAAGCCAGCAATAGGCTCAATATAAAAACTTCATGGAAAAGGAAATCTGATGGTGCTCTAGAATATTTTTAACAGTTAAATCTTGATTATTGTGTCTTTGATAATAAAAAATTTAATTGCTAAAAATTTCAGAGTATCCAGGATAGTTTGTTTTCCTTTTTTTTTCGAAACCTTTTAGTAAACTCCATAGTACAGAATATAAAAAATCCGTAATTAAAATGCTTACACCAACAGTGACAAAGATGCATGTTTACTTTACAATATTCCTAGCTAATCAAACCCATCACGGTTTGATATTATAATCACTCCCTAATCATATTATAATCACTCTCTAATCTCTATTACAATGACCCAAAAATATTGACTGCCCCCTAAACACACCAAGATGCTTTAGGGGAAAGAGGAATGGTGGATATACCAATCTATTTCTCTGACAAGATGTTCATTCTTATTGATGACACATCATTCAATTTCCAAATTTTGTCTACAAACTAGTCTCCCTACCATTATCCTAAAACAATACGCCAATTGACCATCTGATATGTGAGAGAGAAAGAGAGACTGTTAGTTGGGGCATATGATCAAAAGGGTTACCTTCAAAGAGAACGGGAAGCTGGAAGAGCATGCCGACCTTGCGGCGGAGGCTGAGAACGTCGACGTCCAGAATATCACGACCGTCCAAGAAGACAGTCCCAGATGGCGGCTCCCAGAGGCGGTTGAGAGCTCGAAGCAGCGTGGACTTGCCGCTGCCACTGGGGCCAATGACCCCCATGATCACACCCCTTGGTATGTCCAAGGTCAACCCATTGAGTATTGCGGCTCCGGTGGTGTCTGATTTCTTGGCCAGATTTCGTATCCGGAATTTCACGTCCCCATCAGCTTCTCCAACGTCCACTGTCAGTAGGTGCTCTCTAACTGTTTCATCCCCATCTGCCAAGCAAAACTCACAATATCAGATTTTGATTGATGCATGGAAACTGCGTTAAATTACGTTGTCGGGGCAGTCAAATCTATACCCTTGATAAGCTAGGCTTTTTGTACAAAGATGAAGTCTAGACTCTACATGTACGGATAATATAACATGTCAAATATCTAATGTTAGAATATTATCGCGTAGGATTGAGTAATATCGTACCAGCAAAGGAGAGGTGTGCCTGACCCGGTGGAGGTGAAGACATTTGTAGATTTGCGTGCGTGTGAATTTTAATGTGTGTTTCGGAGGATTGGAGATAGAGAGAGAGAGAGAGAGAGAGAGAGGAGAGAATGGTGTGTGTTTATTTATAGAAGATTTGAGGTTTGGGAGGTACATACAATTACAAGCGAGTGCATAAATAAAGCCTTCCCCAGAGCAGACTGCATCAGTCCAACAGTGACCCGGGGAGGTAAAGCCTTCTTGTAACAAGATGTGTTGTATTATTACACTGGAATGTCACTGTAGCGGTGTAACCCGATGCTCCCAAAGAGAGAGTGGACACATATTGATTCATTCCTAAATGCTACTTTTATTGTGGCTTTTTATTCTTGACAGATAAGAAATCGATAAAGTAGTAGAATGGTCCAGCCAGCGGTGGGACATACAGGCTTTGTCAACTACTGCAAGGTCTGGTTGTACGGATTCTAAGGAATCGAAAAGGAATCGAAGGGAAGATATGTCTCCTTTCCTAGCTTGAAGACTTCCATGTGATATGTCAAAACATTTTGTTTTGATTCTTTTGTGACAAACCAATCACCAACCTTGGTAAGATTGAAGAAGATTTGTTTCTGAATTTCCATTCATGTTGCTTTCACCTATTTCTAAGATTCTAAAGAACGTTAAGTGCTAATCGAGTGGCGAGTTGAGTCATTGCGTATAAACATATAATTAGATTTTTTTTTTTTTTGGGCTAAATAAAAGTAGAATAATAAATATGCATCCACCTGAGTTGTTCACGAATTAGTTGTACCAACTGTTTCTTTTTAGGCATATAATCATATAATTTAAAAACACATTAAACATATAATTAAATATTATTTTAGTGAAACTCCACTACCTTGTCCGTTGATTGTTTAACTATTTTAGTACAATTAGGGTTTTGTCTTTTCTCAGTCGATTTGATTTAATTCAATTGAATCTTTGTTTAGGGCTCAAAGAAAGGAGATGGGTCTTCTTCCTCTTCGGGGCCGTCGATGCCGGCGAAGGTATGGCAAAGTGGACAAGCTGGAGGGCAAAGAAGACCCTTCAGCTTACAATTCTCTCCATGCATTCCATATCGGTTGGCTTGGTTTAACAGCCTATACCGCTTAGCGCCCACCCAGGCCATTTCCGATTTTCCCTAACATTTCGCTCCAAATCACTTCAAAAGCCCACCTAGGCGCCGCCTAACTCATTTAAAAGTGCTTTTCAAATGCTTAAAAATATTTCTGATAAAAAAATTCTTAGAACCAACCCTTAGTAAAAATGCAAGCAACTCCTAAAAAGCACTCAAGAATTCAAAAATATTTTCTCCAAAAGCACTTTCAATCATTTTAAAAACACTTCTAAAAGAGCCCTATAATTTTCACGCTACTCTTTTCCCCTTTCTACACTCCCCTCGTTTATGTCCATTTATTCTACTTTGATTTGTTGAATCCAGCAAACTATAACGAAGGGGCCTGCAAGCGGGGCAAACAAAAATGGAACAAGGGAATCACTACCCTAAACCCAAAAAACGAAAGCAGTAAGTCAGATGTGGTCTTCTGCTCAACCCTCGCGCACCTGTGTTTTAACACAAACAAAATTCCAACTTCAGACGATAGAGAAAATTTTGCGTTATTACATGCTGTTACACAGTTAACATTGCGCCCGACAACCGAATCATGAGGATCAATTGTAAGATTGAAATTCTGAATAATGTCTAGTATACATGGAGCATTGTGACATGAGCATGCTGCAACGAAGGGCAACACATGGGTAGATTTTCTGCCTTCTCATGGTGATCGAATCAGTTCCGGCCAGAAGACTCAAATGACACATCTGATAACAGAGAGGAGAGACAATCCTACTCGTTCTATTTCCAACGAGAACCACCAAGTCTAATCACCTCTTCACCACCATTATCTCCCCTGGGAATCCTATCCAAGCTAGCATCGCCTTTTTGATTACTGATATCCCCATAAAGATCCCTAAGTATTGCCAGGTTGCTAGATGCAGATGTTCTATCCTTGTTTACATCTCTCTGTGGGCTCGAATGAAGTGTAGTGCCCGCTTGCAAACTCCGACTTCGACTCCTGCTTCTACTGCGGCTCCGACTCCTACTCCTATGAGAATGCCTACCGCCATCACGGCTACTCTCATATGGATCCCTTCGACTTTCTCTCTCTCCATATCTGGACCTCCGATCATAATCAGAACTTCGTTCTCTATCCCTCTCTCGCTCCCTTTCCTTATCCCTAACTCTATCTCTCGCTCTGTCTCTGTCTCGGTCCCGCTCCCATTCCTTGTATCTTTCTCGATCCCGATTGCGATCACGGTCCCTTCCTCTGTCCCTGTCTGAATATTCTCTGTCAGAATATTCACGGCTCTGACTGCAACGGGTCCTTTGATCATCACTACTGGCTTTATCATAAGGTGGTGGTGGTAAGGTGCGACGAACAGGTGAGGAGTCCCTTGTTGAAGCACGATGTGGAGCACGTTGACCAAAGGAAACTGAAAGAGCAGCTTTCACAGAAGGTGGGCGACGAGCTGTGTCATCAGATCCATGGCGGGTAGCCTCTCCAGTAATACCAGATAGTTTGGTGGGGAGTTTCATCTTCTCAAGATTAGCTACAATCTGCCGCATAACAGGAACAGGGATGCGGGGGAAAAGGGTATCAAAATAGTACTGCAATAACACAACCAAGTTAAATCACTTCACCAACTATAGCAATGAAAGTGTCATGTGGACAGCAAAATAGTATTTAAAGCACTGCATGTTAAGAGCATTTGTTGTCTAGATAAGCTGCATCTAAAACTATGCAGAAAATGTGAAAAATTAACTATGATCAGTTACAGAAACTACATACGTATATAAATGAACATATATTGTAATGAACAGCAAAGCAAATATTGATCTAATTTTGTCTTAGAACACAACTAACAAACAATTCATAACACTCTTGGCCAGTTTCAATATGGTGAAACTCAAATTTGGAAGAAACGGTATTGTTTTTACGTGTTAAATTTGGACCTTAACAGTAGCACTCTGAGACCATGCTTCTAAGCTCCAAGGACCTGTATTCAGACCTTAATCGCACTGTAATCTGGAAAAGCAGCAGCTGTGACTGTAAAGGACTGCATTGTCGGAGCATTAGACAGAAGATTTTAAACTATTGTCCTAGAAGCTCCATCAACTATTTTACACAATGCTTTCTAGGCTGATATGTGTGTGTAAGTGTGTATTAAAAACATATTGGAAGTACATTTCTTTTTTCTAGTCAACTGAAAACAAACCACTGTTTTCTACTACAGACAATAATACTCCAAACAACTTTAGCTGGTTAACTGACTTTTTCCTACCCACTTTGGTACTAGGTGTGGCATCTCAACAGATGAACTCTTGACGTGAAAAGTAGGTGCATAGAGAGCCTCACATGCTACACAAATAAATCGTGCTGTCACTTGATAACAAAATTTCTCTGTAACTTAATTTCGGTTTAAATGGGAAGCTTGCTTAAAATATAGACTACTTGTTCAATATTTCTGCTGTGTAAACGAATCTCAAATTACGCCAGTCATGACTTCTATCTTTCATTAGGAAAAACAAGATCAATATAATTAGTGTATTTTGTTATAGATATCCTATGCAGTTAAAAAGTCCATAAACTATATCCAACTAATCATCGGATAAAATCAATCGAAATATGATTCGGTGGGCATGTCTTGGAGGACAAAGAGCTCCCAATTGGCAAGCTAAAGTAATGATATTTTTGGCAGGTTAAATGCTAGACATGCATGCAGTAGTATTAGGCACTTCGGCATTCTAGTTATGGTACAGTTGCAAATGCATACAGCATGAATACTGAGGCTGTGGCCATTTATTTTCACCATAAAATTTCAAATATAAAGCATTCTTTAACGAAACTAACCTGCCCAAGCAGCAAATCACGCACGTATACACCCATAGTTGTCATCCGTCCATTGGAACCAGGAGAAAATTCCTGAAACCAAAGCCAACACATAAATGAATAACTCAGGGAGAACAAAATCAATATGCTAACATAACAATACAAAATAAAAACAAGTGACAATTGTCATAGAAGTTCAATCAGTGGGAAATATATCATAAGTATACACAGATATAGATAAGGTGGAAACAGTTGGTACCCACAGGATATATAGAGTTATAGAAATGGTTTTGAGACCAGAACTAACATAAGAGAACAATAAAATGTATTCAAGATCTCAAGTCCATGTGGATCCAATGGCCAACTCTGACCACTAATTGTTATCTTCTATCAATGTCAAATACAAAATCTCAATCAACTCTTACATACTACCACCCCACTTCCAGACAGTATATAATTGCCGCTCCTCTATTCCTGAGATGCCGTGGCACTAAGCTGCAGATCCCCTGGTGAACTTCAACGTTAAAGAGCCATTTAGACCAACACTTTTAACAGTGGCACCTCTCTTTGGTAGTGTAATTTAATATGTCCAGACGTATCCTTACATGGGAATGTTTAAATCTAAACAAGGCCAAGTCAAAAAATTTGGAAAAGAAAACTATAAAAAAGAGTTTTTTTCTAATCAGTAGGGTTAAGACACTTACCACTTAGAATGTTTATAAGTCCCCTTCAACCAATGATGGTTAATATGACTGCTCTAAACTTTTGTTTTATTACTCATTGGATGAAAATCCAATGGTAATATTGTAACTGTCTTATGAAAATTCTGACCGGCAGGTGTCAGAACATGATAAATATTACAGTCTATTAGTTGGTGTCGAAAGCAATTTATGTCCAACGCCCTCTATATATGTGATCTATGCCAATAAATAGCTAGACCTTAAAAGAACACGGGCCTAGAACAAGATAAGCTAAGATAAATCAAAAGAACTTCACCAGCACATTGAACTAGTCTGTATCTTTACTACATGGATCTAAATTAGTAGGATTTTCTACTTAGTGTGTTAACATCACTTCATTTCAGCCAAAACCATAATGAAAGCATATTGAACTACTTCAGTCAGTTGAACAAGTGTTTGTGTCTCAAAATTTGCAAGTGAAATGTATTTAACACTTACACACAAAGCATCCGACAAAGATACCTACTCCATGTAATAGTAACTACGCCACTACCAAAAAATCATGCCATGCAAATTGAGACACAAGTAAATGGTTAGTATGTTTTGTAAAGAGCACAACCATTGGGTATACAACAGCCAAAAGTTCCACAGAGTTTCAAATCTATCAAAATTGGAAACAATTAATGTGATTTTCAGCTTTTGAATTTTAAGAACCAAAGGACTGCTCTTATATGAACCAAATGACTTTGACCAGGATCTATAAATTTCATAAACCTTTTCCTTTTTTTTTTTCTTTTGTCAAATGAAATTCATAAACCTTGACAAATGCAAATGTAGCGTGCATGCTTGCAAGGGTGTTGAGAACCCTATTCGTGCAGAACCACCAAGGAAGCATTCAAAACTCAGAGTCAGTAAACTGTAAACATAGGTTCCAGAAGGAAGAGAACACAAATTTGTATATGACAGATAAAAAGGTAAGAAACTTGAAAACTAAAATGCATCATCTATCATTTACCTCGTCATCTTTAATATAGGGTTCAACCCAATTCCACAAAGTCTTTGGGTCTGCAGCATATCTCAAGTAGAGGAAACCCACCTGAAAATCAAATAGAACTAAGCCGATTATCGATTAAGAAAAACATAGCACATAACATCTTAACGAGAAACATGGTAATTTCCAAATTCAAAACAACACATAAATGGAGTATATAATGTCAGATTAACATACACACCGCTCTTATGTAGGGCGAATCCTCGTGCTTTAAAAGACCGTGCATTTGCTTAATGGTGAGCTTCATGGTGAAGAACTTGTACAGCAGACAGAAGGCAGTTGACGGGCCGCGGCAATTCCCGGTCATCCACGGCTCGACATGGTCTACTTGGTTGTAAATTTCATCAATGACTTCATGGTACGTCTTTAACCGGTAAAGTTCCTTGAAGTAGTCGGAAGATAGAACGTTCATACAAAGCACCTTCTCGAGCAATGAGTCAATGGATTTCCCACATGTCTGTACCTCCATCCACGCCTACGCTTCTGCAAAATTCAAACCCTTAATTATCGACACCAGCGTTTCAAATAAGCATAACATTATCGACATTAACGAAAAACAGAATAAAAAGACTCATAATTTCCCCTGCCAACCGATCCGGAGACGGAGACTAGGGTTAGGATTAGAGAAATTAGGGTTAGGGTTACGAGAACAACCTCGAAGAAGGAAATCCACTTACTTGAAGCAATTTGGGGAAATTTCCGCCGAATTCACGATCTGCTGAGCAGCTTCTAACCCTCTTCGCCTCTTTCTCTCCTTTCTGAATCGTAGGCCCGACGGTTAAAAGCTTTTCTTCTTATTATTATTACCTCTTTTTCTATTTTTTTTTTAATCACAATTTAAATAAACAAATTAAAAGGACAAAAAAAGAGAAACGGAAACTGAAGGCCTTACAGTTTTGGGTCAATGCGAATGGGCTTGTTTCTATTGGATTGTGACTTGAGATTGGGCTGCTATTTATCATTTGGGAATATACTTCTTTTATTGTTGGGAATGGAAAATTATAATATAAGTTCGTTTGAAAATATTTTTAAAATAATTGAAAACGTATTTTTGGAGAAAATATTTTTGGACTTCAAAAGTACTTAAAGTGCTTCATTCAAGAAGCACATACCAGGATCACTTGTATTTTTACTTAAGATGATGTATTCAATTGGGATTCTAAACGATTGTAATTCTTTTAATAAATCTACTGTTAGTCAATCATAATTTTAAATAATTCTCTGAAATTGACATGTATTCATTAAAGATTTTAAGATAGTTTATTAAAATCTTTATAAATATGGGTGTATTCAATTAGGATTTTAAAGAAGTTTATAACAATCCAGGTGCATTCAATAAGGAATTTATCCTAAAAAGTTGAAAAAATTAAGAGAATTAGAGAGATTTTGTTATTTAATTTTTTAAGAATATACGATAACTTTATTGAAGGAAATCAACTAAGCTGCAAATCTTGGTGAGGTTCCTCCTGTAAAGCACTTCGGGGTTCCTCATACCTAACAAAAGAGTCACTAAGAGATAAACTTAACTTGGCAAGGCGATGAGTGACACCATTACAACTACAAGGAATATATGAGATTGAACAGTCAACAAACTCGGCCATCAACTCTCTAATATCAGAAGCTGTAAAACCAAGACTTGAGTAATCAATAGTCCCTCATTTGTAAGCATCAACTACTTCAATCGTGTCCGTTTCGACCTTGGCCAAACGCCAGACATCACTCCTAACAAGTTGCAACCCAGCTCTGATCGTTAGTAGCACCACCTGCTTGACAGAGTCAACACCTTGAAACCCCCATACACTAGCCGCTCAAAACAAACCACTCCACCACGAAGCACCCCTCCCAAGCTGTGCATAGGGTGACATCTTCGCTAGGAAGCCAATTGACATTTTCTAACGATTTTTTTGTCTGTCATATGAGCTATATTTGAAGAGAGATTGGAATGATTAAAGAAATTTGGAGGTCAAATACGAGAAAATTGATTTTTTTTTTTTTGTATGGATTAAGGAACAAATGGATGGGTATTTATAGAATTTTGATTAAGTTTTGGTTATTTGCATTAATTCCCAATAAAACCTTCTTGTAAAAGGATTTTAACAATATTTTCAATGATGTTAGTAGATGTTATTCGAACTGTTCTTTTTTTATTCATGTCAGCATTTCGTGTAGAGGTTATTATGTTAGCAATAGTGTCTTTACTCATGATAAACTAAGATTTTTGTTTCCTCCGAATTTTGACATAATCAACATGCTCTTTTCTTTTTCTTTTTTCTGAATTTTTTAATATTTATGAATTTTAAAGATATATATGTGATAGATAAACAATTTACTAATTAATTAAATAAATTTAATCAATTTCATTCAAATACTATATTAAGGTCTTCCCCTATAATACTTCAGATGCTAATGAAACTATTTTAGTGAAATTTAATTGTCTTAATTCTCGGGCGATCGCGCCCAAAATTCGGGTTCCTTTTGGATTTTCTTCTTGATCAATAATAACCGCAGGTTGTCATCATAAACTATTATCATACCATTGTTGCATTTGAGTTTTTTACAAGTACGTACAATTTTGATCATTGGATCTTCTTTTTTATTGTTAAAATTGATTAAATTAGATTTAAACCATTGAAAAAAATTTAAAACTGATTGTTGGATTGTAGCAGTGAAAAAATATGGGCTACACATAAAATTGCAGTTGGAAAACTGATGAGATAAGGCGCGCCACACTAGATCACTACCCAACAATGTGCCCCAGTCATTGGATCTCAACAGTAAGACAATCTCAACCATAGAAAGTGTGAGATTTGCGCACTCGCCCGCACTTGATCCCTCCACGTTAAGGAAGCATAAGCGCAGGTCCAAACTCTATTTGGTCTTGACGTGGGAAAGCTCTGTTGCTGGTCTACCGTTGGTCCCCCAATCCACTTGCAATCTTATCCATCTAAGGTGGGAAGAAATCGCAAATACTCACCCCCAAACCCATAATTCCAAACTTTCCACCCCCAAAATACATGCCTAGGAGAGGTTTTGGTAATTTTAAGTTTTTTTGTTTCCCCTTCTCCCTTGGAGACGGCCTTATGTGCCTATCTCTTAGAAGTTTCTCATACTGTCTCCCAAAACAGTCTCACACGCACCCATAGAAGTCTAGAAGGCTCACTAAGAAAAAAGAAACTACTAGAAGCAGAACAAACCAAGACTTGTTGTCTTTCTCAAACTCTATATGTCATTTCTTTCTCAAATCATCTCCCTCCCTCTTTCTCTATTGAATTTCTTGCTACCGTCACATCCACTAGTCTACAATCCTAGAATTTAGTTGAATTTCTTGCCACAGTCACATCCGCTAGTCTATAATCTTAAAATTCAAATCTCATCGCTCTGCCATGTCCGCTATGTGGTTGAGGACCGAACGCAAGGATCAGAGCAAGAGTGTACAATGATATAATGTTTAGCTAGCCAGTTAATTCATCTTTCCTCCCTAAATGTAGCAAGCCACTAGTTCAAAAACTAAAATAACTAGCCACATAGCTAGTATGTTGGAAGCTTATTTTTCTTTGTTTTGCTTTATTTTAGAGGGGTTGTTGGTAATGTTCTTGCAATGTGGAGTTTATTTCTATATATAACTAAACCCAAGTTAAGATTATTATTTTTATGACTACAAGGAAGTTATTCCCTTATATAGTATCACTATAGAGAGATTTCAATATATATGCGCACCGATGTTGGTGCAACATTGTATGGAAAACTAATAGGGGTTCAAATAACACCATAACTATTGTTTGCCAAAAAACTTTCACACGCAAACTTTTATTTAGTTACAACGATATTCTACACCAAATAGTGAGAGATTGTGTTAAATAAGACAAATAAGTCAGCCATAACAATTAGATACAAGTTCATCAGTTAAGCCAGTCAAACCTACAAGTAAAAAATATCACTAAATCGTAATTACACAACATTTTCACCTCAATTACAAATGAAGATAAATACAAATTCGTCTTTTAAAAACTTCCCTCATATTCTCCTCTTTTATCTTATATTTTACGACAATATTGACATCGTTATTTGCAAAAGTTTTATGTTCTTTAGGTACGTTGGAACTTGAAAGGAGATTGTGTACAGTTTGTACTACTTGTGTGGTGGATGAGCACCGTTCCAAAAGGCACAATCCCAATCCCATACCCTGAACGGAACAAAGATGAATTGCTGGGTTTGGAAATTGGATCCATCTGCAACCAAAGCTTCACAAAATTTCATGTAACTCCTAGCAGCAAATAACGCACAAGACACGGACAAATTAGTCCAGTCCAATCCATTCAATCATCAAGATACAGCCGAGGGCCAACCTTGTGAGCTGTTCGTTGTTGAGTGCAGTCCCAAACATCCATCATGTGTTCCATTGCACCACTATGTTGTTTCGTAGTTTTATTTTTCTTATGTGTAACCATTATGTCGCAAGAATAACTTTATATACAATAATTTCACTGTTATTGGTCTAACAATGTATTGTCATGTGTAACTTACAAATAATAATGTGTTCATTAAAAGTGGAACCTCACATGACAGTAAACTTGTTATTTATCGAGACATATTGTAATACCCTGAAAATTTTAAGTATATGAGTTGATATTCATAATTATGAATATGCGGAGAAAATCGAAAATAAATAGATTTATGATTATAAAAAATTTAATTGAGAAATTTTAAAATTTTATTACAAGAAATTATTATAATTTACGTCGTAAAATGTATCGTTAAATGAAAATGATGAAAATGCTCCTAGTTGACTAAACATAATTTTATGAGGACGTATTTTATCCTCATATATTTATCATATTTCTTGACGTATTTGGATAGAGGACAATTCCACGAGCGTGTACCCGAAAACTGTTCGTGAAACGGAGTTATAATGAATGAGATATTAACGTTTAAAGTCGAGGAAAAAATGATCAATTGATCATTTTCTAGAAGGCTCCAGATTTTTGGAACAAAATCTGGGAAGCCATGTGTGTGGCCAAGATTGAAGGAAGAAGAGGAGTGGATGGTTAAGATGGAAATGAGAAGAGAGAACGAAGGGAGAGGCGAGGCCTAATCGGAAAGAGGAGGGGGACTGACCAATGAGAAGGAAAGGAAGGGAGAGAAAGGAGGGAAGGAAGGTGTAGCCAACTCGGACCTTAACCTGTTTACAGTCGAGACCCAGGCTTTCACCCGGTTTTCTGCAGCCTTTTCGACGCCTTTCATGGTGTTTTTTTCGGTGAACCACCTCGATCCACCACATGCATATAGCTCAGCGACCTTCCAGCTTGTATCTCCACCCAAATTTGGTGGGTTTTAGCTCCCGTTTCACAGAGAACGAGCTTGTCGGGTTTCTGATGTATACGACAGCAATTCCGCCGATCTTGAAGCAAATTTCGTCAACCACCACCATGGTTCAACTCCTCTTAAACCTAGGAACAAGTCTCAAACCTTGGTTGGTGCGACGGAGCACTGGAGAGGTCGAATTGAAGGCCACCATTTTTAGGGTTTTCGACAGGTTCGAGGGAAATTGGGGATTTTCCCGGCCAAATTGGCATTGGTCACAGGTATGAAACTTGCTGCACTCCTTAAGATCTTCATTCATATAAAATTTGATAATTTTTAGAGTTAGTCAGAAAATTGGATTTCCATTCGATGGAAACTGCCACCGGCGGCAGCGCGTGGCCAGTGGGCCGACGCTACCTTTTCATGCAAATGTTGATATTTTAAGTTCGTAATTGGTACCTAATTGATGTGATTTGATTATGAAAGCTGATGTTGAATATTCCCGTTACCAGAATATTTTTCAGAATCAGATAAAAGAATGAATGGTGAACTACGAGAGGCTTGATCCCGCTCAAGGGTACATAGGCCGTTTAACAGGGGTTAGATACAACCTTAAATAATTGAGATTAATCTTTTGTTGAGAATTTGTTTTAAGAAAAGAGATTTGGTGATTAATTTGAAAATTTAACCTTATGTTTTTGGTAAGTAAATTTTGGTAATAGATTTTGTGAGTGATTAAAAAATTTAATTAAAGAATTTTAATTAACGGTAGTTAGTTAAACAAAATTTTAATTTTGGTCTATCATCGAAATTAGTTTCCGAAATAAAATTTTCCGCCGGGATGTTACACATACTTTCTTTGCCTGCATCCTATCTTCCACGTCAAAACTAGCCCTTCTGTGTGGCTCAGTGCTGGTGTTGTTCCGTAATTGTCCTTGTTCTTCTCTCTTTTGTAAGGTCTCTGTCTAACCAATTAAGGAACAATAATGCAATGATGGCTACAATAATGCAAATCATCAAGATTCAATAATGCTCTCAAAAAATGACTATTTCGTCTAGTAATATTTACGTCTCTTCCTTGTTGGAAGAGATGGTTGGTGAACTCATATACAACAATTAAAAAGAAAATGGAACAAAAGATTATAATTTGGATAAATTTGATGTACTCTATACTTATCATGCTTCATCGTAAGTATCCTAGTCAGCATCTTATTTGTTAAAAATAGATGAATTCATATTTGTTGCAAACTTACCTAAATAAACGTTACATCATTCAAACCCAAAAGAAAAACATTTGTCACATCATTAGACGAACAAAATTCGACAATAATTTAAAATATTCGTAACTACCATTGATACAGTTTTATCAGGTGATGCTTCGTCCACATTGTATTGTCTTCCACTTTTATCTATGTTAAAATTCTTAATTTTTTCCAATTAAAATTTTCGTATTGATGATATGCTTCTAATTAAGATCATCTTTCCTCAGAACTGAATGTCTATTTCATCTCAAGGCATCAAATGCAATTTTGATCAAGCACCCATCAACAATTTTTCATTTGGTAAACAAATTCATATCCCTTTCATAATTTAAGCAACTTATTAATTTGAATCTCAATTTTTTTTGTCTTGAGCATTTGAGGGTATTTGGGTAAAGGAGTGTGTTTTGGTATATTTCATTAATAAGAAATAAATAAAACTAATAAAAATGGCTTCAAATATTTGTATTTTAATAAAAAAATCATATACTAACTTTATTTAGTGATAAAAACAAAAGAATAAAAAAACATAAAAAAAAAAAAAAAAGCACATGCGCTAGGCCCCCCACCGCACCCCACCCCGTCCCTTCCCTTTCCACTCTTTTTTATCCCATTTGTCTTAAGAGTTTGTTTGTTTGTTTGTTTACTTTATTTATTTTTTCTTTTTTTTTCATTTTTGTTCTTAGAATAAAAGAAAGATTTCAAATTGAATACATTTTTCAGTTTTATTTTTGTGGTGTTGTTTCTTAATAGTAGTCAAGATGACGAGAAATTTTTTAATGTACCTGAAACATAAGGTGATATACTACGTGTCTCTATACAAGTGGTAAGATTCTTGTATTAAAAAATTAATAACATTAAAAAATAAAATTTCCTACCATTTACATAATAACACGTGTTGTACCGCTTGTGTTATGGACATAAGGAAAATTTTCTCCAAGATGACACCTAAGGTAAAGAAATTGGATGGAGAGTTACATTTAATTGTTGTAGGTATGTAAATAATGTGAGGGAATTTTAATTTGGTAATTGAAAAAAACTTTTTAAATATAATTATACCTTATCAAGGTTTTGATCTAAAGGATCACTTATAGGTTCATTGCTTTCGATGCAATGAGTGCTTTTACATGACCAAAAAGAGTTACAAAGTTTCAAACCTTATGAAACAAAACTAAGAATTAGACACTATTTATAAAACTTGACTAATAAGTAGATATTATTTATGAAACTAGATCAATAACTAGACACTACTTATGAAACCAAACCAAAGAATCGTGCACTATTTCCAAAAACTAAACCAATAGGTGAAAATTATTTATGAAATTGGATTATACACTATTTATGAAACTAGACCAAGCACTAAACATTATTTATAAAACTGAACCAAGAACTATGGACTATTTATGAAAGTGGACATATAACTAGAAATTATTTATGAAACCGGAATAAGAAAGAGACACTATTTATGAAAATGTACCAATTAGTATACACTATTTATGAAACTAGATCCAATAACTAGGCACTATTTATGAAACATGATCAAGAACTAGGCACTATTTATGAAACTGGACCAATAAATAGTGTAGTGTCGTTCAATTTCATAATATTGTTTAGTTTTATAAACAGTGTCTGTGATGGATGCACGAGTCTTGCGCGCCATGTCTTTTTTTTTTTTTTTCAATTATATTAAATTTGTGTCATTTTCATCGAAATTTAAGTTCCTTTGTCATTTTTATTAAATTTAAGGGGTTTTCATAAATATTTAATTTATTTGAATTAAATAAAGTTATGGCATATTTTTTTATTAAAATAAATGTTGCTAAAACTCTTTTCATGAAAGCTTTTTAAGAAATAAGCACGTTAATTACTAATTAAATAATAATCCAATCATCAATAAATTCATATGATTTACAAAATTTATTTAAAAAATTCGTCCCCTAACATTACTGTTTTGCTAAAGGATATCGCTACGGGAACTAAATTTATAAATCAAATGATGTGTCACCAATAGAAAATGAGCACATTTATCATCGCTTAAATGATAATCCAATTATCAACTTTAATTACATCTAGTTTGTAAATTTGATGTACGAATTTAGTTTCCTAACGTTACCCTTAATGACAAAAACTGGACAGGTAAATGCATTTGTCTGGTTTAATTTTGTTTGTATGTTTGGGCAAGAATCTCAAGGAAGAAGCCTCTCCTCCTTTTGCGCCTCCAAAACCAAAACTACAAACTCTCTCGCCCTCACACCGCCAAGATTCTTCCCTCCCCCCGCCTCCTGCTGCCATTCCCGCCTCACACAAAATAAGGAAAAATGGGGTTTCTCTTTCTTTTTCTCAAGCCCACCACCCCCACCTCCTTCTTCATCCTCCTCCTTCTCCTCACCCTCCTCCTCTCTTTTCTCACCACACCCACTCGCGCGCACCCACACGCAGCAGCAGCAGCAGCAGATTCCCATCTCTCCACCCCAGGCTTCGGTGACATTGCCAACTCAGCCAACCCATCTTCCTCACCGCCCCATCCCCCTCAACTCAACAACGCGGGCCCCACCAGGTCCTCCTCCTTCCGGCCGAGCATAGCCATAATCGTCGGCGTTCTCACCACCGTCTTCTCCGTCTTCTTCCTTATTCTCCTCTATGCCAAGCACTGCAAGGGCAGTGCTCTCGTCGTCGTCGGCGCTGACTCCAATTCCGGACCCTCCGGACCCTCCCCGCGTAAAAACTCTGGCATTGACCGCTCCATCGTCGAGTCCCTGCCCGTTTTCCGTTTCGGGTCGCTCCGCGGTCACAAGGACGGGCTCGAGTGCGCGGTCTGCCTGACCCGGTTCGACCAGACCGAGGTCCTCCGCCTCCTCCCAAAATGCAAACATGCGTTCCACGTCGAGTGCGTCGATACGTGGCTCGACGCCCACTCCACCTGCCCACTCTGCCGGTACCGGGTCGACCCGGAAGATGTCCTCTTAGTCGACGACGCCGCAAAGCTCTTGCAACCGAAGAACAGCGACGTCGTGATAGAGATCGAGAACGACCCAGGTTTTCGTCGGATTTCGGGGCGGCACTCGTTCGCCGGAGAACGCAGACCGGGACATCATCAAATCCAAACGTGGTCGTTTCGGAGGTCGCTGGACAGCTGGACGGCATTCCGAAAGAAGAGCGAGCAGGCCGCCGTCGGATGCTTCGACCGACCCAGAAAAGACGGACTCCTGTTGGGTCAACACAGGACGAGGTTGGAGCACCGGATCATAGTCTCCCCAACCGGATCGGGGTATGGTCCCGGTGGGCTCCACCAGAGATGGAGCGATTTACAGCCGTCAGATCTTCTGTATCTACGGTCAGAGATGATCATGAGCGAAGGGTTGACACGTCATGGGGCGCAGCAGCAGAGCGAGAATGATAATGGGCAGCAGGTGATTGCGGGGCCCGCGGCGGCAGGAGGAGGAGGAGGGCCCGGAGAGATTGTTGGGAGCAGAAGATCATGGAGCGGTGGTGGTGGCAGGAGCGTAATAAATTCGAGAAGCGTGTCGGAAATCACGGGGCTGAGCAGGTTTTCGAGCAGAGCGACGGGGAGTAATGGGAGCCAACAGGAGCAGCAACAACGACAGATCAAGCTCGTGGCCAGGTGGCTGGCGTGGGTTTCTTCTCTCTCTCGATCGGCAATACGGACGGAGCGTACTACTGTCCCCACCCCCACTTCTCCACTGACCATTTGTTAGCTTTTGCAGTTTTTATTTTTTATTTTTTATTTTTTATTTTTTAGAGTTATACAGAGCGCGCCAAAACTTAGATGGTAGAGAGAAGAGAAGCCAGTCCACTACCTTCCAAAATATCTTTTATTTTTCACTTTAGTTTTGTTTGAGTAGAAAGCATTATTCTAGGCACACGGGCAGAGGGATAGATATTCCAGACAACCACGGATAACGATATGGCACGTGAATTTTTTTTGATACGGGGAAGTAGTTCTTCTACTTTCTTGCTCGTTTGTTGTACTTTCTATTCTAGCGAATGCTAAGATTGTATAAAAATGTAACGGTAGAGAGATTAAATTTAATCTCTAGCATTATCCTCTTTCTTGGGGGGTTTTTTCAACTTTAATCCTTGGAAAAGATTGAAATTGAATTAAAGCATTGTGTTAGATTACCTTTTTTTTTTTAATTGGAAACAATATATTCATAAATTAAACTTATAAAGAGTTACATAAATCTTGGAAAAGAAGCTCCTGAATAAGGATAGGAGGCTCCTCAAACCAAACTAAATTATTGCCACTAGACAAAGCAAACTTTGCAAGTAGGTGTGCAACACCATTCCATGAGCGAGAAACATGGATAAACCTCACCTCACCATAGGGAAAGTGGATGCCAACTGTAGAACATCATCCGCAATCATACCAATCACTGATGAATCTGAATGAGTCCGATTGAGAGTTGTAATGGCGTTCATACAATCGCTCTCTACCACAACCTATCGGAAACCATGTTGTTGAGCCATCTGCATACAACTCTAAAATCGGAACAGAGATAATGTCTGGGAATTGTTGCACCCCTGCCACCAAGTGTCCTCCCCTCCAGTCCCATATCACCACCCCCACACCACACGCCTTGTCTTGAACTTTTAGTGCCCCATCAGTATGAATTTTAACCCACCGTTGAGTAGGGGGAGTCTAACGTGGGGTAGGGAGACCCCTCGTCCTGGTTGGTTTCCTATTGGCCTCCCGAAACGCCATCAACCATGAAGACACCCGCTGCCAAACAACTATGGGTAGAACACTGGAACCCTTCCACACCCATGCATTCTGTTCTTGCTATATACCCCACAACACCATGCATACCAACTTGAAATCCACCTCCCTCCGTTCAAGCACCTCCAACAACCACTCCTTAAGCAGAAAAGGGGAATTCCCAGACCCCCTCAGGCCTATCGGAGAATTAAACCATACTGCTATGGTAAAGGAACAAGTAAGAAAGACATGTTTCGCAACCTTCTCCTCTCCCTAACAAATTCCACACTCCAACTCCACTCCCACACCTTTCTTTTTAAGATTCACTTTAGTGGGAAAGATGTTGTGACACACCCTCCATGTGAAATTTTTGACTTTAGGTGAGTGATAGGAGCATATTCATGCGACTTAAATGGCTTGTTCTCGTGCATTTACGTTATGTTTCTCTAGTTATTTTAGTCCTTTATGCTTCTTTTGTGTGTTTTCAGGTTCTAAGGGCTTAAGGAAGAAAAAAGATGCATTTTGGAGCATTTTGGAGCAAAATTGGGCTTGGAATGGATGGCATATGATTGGAGCCAAAATGTTGGACGAATTTGAAGGCCTTGTATTCACTTTGGACATAAAACAAAGGGCCTAGCCCATTCTCTCTTAAACCAAGCCCTTTGCCATGCATTTCCTTCCAATTCCAAAGCCCACAATCAATTCAAATGCCATGCAAATCCATATTCAACACCCTAAACTACAAGCATGCATCATCTCACCAAGCAATCAAACAAGCCACATGCATGTCCCTTTAATCATTCAACCACATTCCCACTTTCCTAGCTAACCCTACATGCATTCTTTATTCACTCTTCATCATTGCACCACAAATCATTCACCCACATGCACTCATATTCCCATTTCCTTTCCAACATCTCACATGCATTTCCACCTTCCTACTTCATCATTTCACCACATTCTCCCTCTTTAACTCACATGCACCCAAACAAAGCCAACCTAGCTAACCCTACATGCATTATTTATTCACTTTTCATCATTGCACCACCAATTCACCCACATGCATTTCCAACCATTCACACCCCTTTAATCATTCTCCTAGCTATCATTCACATGCTCTCCCATCCATTCTCTCCCTATATGTTCCCTCCACTACTCCTATAAATACCCTTGCATTCTCATCATTCAAGGCATTCTTCATCTCATTCACAACACAACACTCTTCAAAATCATCCATTCTTCCCCCTTTGGCCGTGAGTTTCCCTTCCATTTCTCCTCCATTTCTTCCATTTCCATAAATTCCCCAATCCATTCAACACACCAACAACATCCCTTAAACCTTGTGCTACAACAACGAGGAAGAGAAGAGTGCCTAAACGTTCATACAATTCAAGTTTTGAGTTGTTGGAATGTTTAGGTGTTTCTTTGATTTCAAAGTTTCATTTTAATTCTCTTTGTTTTGTATGTATGGAAGAGAAGAGTGCTTAAACGTTCATACAATTCAAGCTTTGAGTTGTTGGAATGTTTAGGTGTTTCTTTGATTTCAAGGTTATGAGGAACTAAACCCCCTTTAGGTAGGGGGTGATTCGAAACTATGTTTATATTTGCAATATGAATTGATTAACTTTCGTTGGAATTTCATAAGTTGTGGATTCAATTTGTTTAACCGTTTGATTGATAGCTTATTTATGAATGTTTATTAAGAATGCGCGCTTAATTTTCATGCATAAATATGACGCTAGAATATAAGTGAATTTCACCTAATCGTTATGAACTTATATTCACAAGTAGTGGAGGTTGCTTATAAACAATCGTGTTAAACATATTCTTGGCACGAGTTTCATGCTCATCATAGTAACGAATGCCTCGTCAACACTTATAGTTTTCATAATGCTTAATGATCTTTGATTGTATCTTTATTGTGCTATTCACGTAAAGGACTTTTGGAGAATGTTGTGAATTGCGTTGCGCAAACCCATCCAATTCATTAACTTAAGGAAAACTTGACGGTTAATTTAAGCGGACCTAATTAATCCGGAGTGTTGAGTATCATAATTTATCGAAAGACCAACTGAGAATCAATCTTGTATGCAAGTATAACATATGTGGAGAAGAACCCCTTAGCTAGCTTCCCATCCATTCATTTCCGTCAAATCCATATTCACAATTTGTTTTGTGTCTAAGTATTTATTTTAGTAAATTCGTCCAAATCCAATCCCCCCTTATTTTGTTTAAGTTTTAGTCTTAATCTTTCTTATTTTTAGTTTTGCATTCTTTGAGCATTAAATATTGTTTTATATTGTGTTTTTACGTTTTTAAGTCAAATCCAAGTGATTAACAATCCCTCCTAATCCCCGGTCCAGAACGATCCCTACTTATACACTTCACTACAATTGACAAAAAGAGGGTTTAATTTGTGTGCGTATAATTCTCGCATCAAATTTTGGCGCCGTTGCCGGGGATTAGCAATTTTGCTAATCTCTTGGATTGTTTCATTTCCTTTTGTTTTTATTTTATTTCAGATTTTTAATCTTGTTTTGTTTCTTGTTTTAGGTACTAGTTTATGACTCGGAGTTCTCATCCGATTCGTGAACATATCTCGAGCTTTAACGCCGATTTCGAGCGAGAATTAAGACAAAAGAGAAAGAACTCAGAACCTAGCGAATTAAGCGAAAGCTCCGAGTCCGTTTCTGAATCTGAAGAAGAACCCAAGATAACAGTGGGTGAAGAAGACATGGCAGCAGAAAACCGAACAATCAAGGAGCTTTCCGCTTCTGGATTGGCCAATGCCGCACCATTATGCATTCAATACCCCGCGGCCGCCCAAGGCAAGACCGATGAATTCGAGTTGAAGTCAAGTTTGTTGCACCACATTCCGAAATACCATGGGCTTTCCATGGAAGATCCCAACAAGCATCTCAAGGAGTTCGAGGTTGTTTGTTCGAGCATGACACCCATAAATGTTGACGGGAACATTCTGATGATGAAAGCTTTTCCGTTCTCACTTTTGGAAAAAGCAAAGGATTGGCTTTTCGAATTAGCACCCGGAACGGTTACATCTTGGGATAGTATGAAAAGAGCTTTCTTGGAGAAGTTTTTTCCAACTTCAAGAATCATTCTCTTGAGGAAACGGATTAGTGGTATCCAACAAAATCAAGGTGAATCGTTTCCTTCTTATTATGAACGTTTTAAATCACTTGTTGCTTCTTGTCCACAGCATCAAATGAAGGAGGAGCTGCTCATTCAATACTTCTACGAAGGACTCCTCCCCATGGAACGCCAAATGCTTGATGCCTCGGCGGGAGGTGCGTTGGTGGATAAAACCCCGGGGGCTGCAAAAGTTTTAATTGCCAACCGAGCACATAATGCACAACAATACGAAGGTGTTGGACAAAGAGACCCCCCACGGCAACACCAAGTCAATGAGGTAGGTGCCATAACCGAACTTCAAAATCAAATGACTAACCTTACTACATTGATTTCTCAGGTGGTGGAAGGTCCAAAAGTCAAAACCATAGCTTTTTGTGGCGTATGCTCCATGCAAGGACACCCTACAGACACGTGTCCTCAACTTATCGAGAATGGCGGATTGGAGAGTGCGAATGCCATTGGGTTTCAAAGCCAAAATCAGTCAAGACATAATCCATACTCCAACACATATAATCCAGGATGGCGAGACCACCCAAATTTCAAGTGGAGGGATTCCCAGCAACCCCAGAACCAAGGAGGCTTTAGGCAACAACCACCGGGGTTCTTTCCCAAAACCTACGACCCACCCCAAAATCAAGCCCAATCCGGCCCAAGTGCCTCAGGTACGTCTCTTGACAATGATGCACTTCTTAAGATACTAACTAAGTTGTCTAATGGGCAGGAAGATCAAGCGAAGGCTATGCAAAACCAAGATAAGAGGGTGGATCAACTTGAGAAACAAATTGGGCAGATTGCCGAGTTTGTAGGTAAGTTTCGAGATCCCGGACAACTCCCTAGTTCCACCATTCCAAATCCGAAGGGAGGTTTCGAATCAGCCAAATCAATCACCCTAAGAAGTGGTAAGGAAGTTGGGGCAGGTCCTACATCAAAAACAGGTCATAACGAGGATGAAATTTTGCAAATGGAAGAGGAAGAAACAAGGTTGCCCACGGCAAAGGTGATTCCACCCTTGCCGCAAGTCCCTATGGTCCCAAATCTGCCCAATTCGGCCAATAAAGGTAAAAATGTGTTAAATTCAGTTCCTACTAATGTTTTCCCTTCAAATGTTCCTTTTCCTAGTAGGTTCAGGCAAATGAAGAAAGAAGAAGCCGAAAAGGACATCCTTGAAACATTTCGGAAAGTGCAAGTTAACATAC